AACTCCTTGGCTCCATCCCCAAAAGCCAAACCCTGATGTGGTCGAACTGGTTCCTGGCCTTGGGGACACAAATCACAAGTGGGCTTGGGAGCCGGGACCCCACTCTGCTGTGCCCCGAAACCCTTGGGGTGGGAGGGAACATGCTCACAAGGTGTCTCACCTTGCAGGGGCTGGCTGGCCTGGTGTCCCCGGCTGCGCACCCTCCTCCTGGACCTGCTCCTCATCTACATCACCGTGCCCTTCCTCATCCGCCTCTTCCCCAGCCTGCTCACCAAATTCGTCTTCCTCAACTTCTGTGAGTGCCCCCGGGGTTTTCCCAACTGGGAAACCCCTCCACCTCCAGGGATTTGAGTAGGCTGGGGTGTGAGGTGTCCCCAAAATGCAGGTGGAGCCGCACCCAGTGCCTGTGTGGCACCCATCCAACCCACCCCCTGTGCTGTGGGCTTGCAGAGAGGACACGGAGGGACCTTTCTGGTTTGTGCCTCGTGTTTTGCAAGCCGTAATAACGCGGTGCCTCAGACCCTGTTGCAACACTTCTGAGCACGCACGGCATCAACGGGGCTAGAAATCTGTGTGAGAGGAGGTGGGAGGGGGCTGTGCTCCCCGTGCTGGCTGTAGCACGGCTCTCGGCTCTGAAAACAAAAAATAAATAACATGGTGCTTTGGAAAAAAAAAATGCATAAAAGCAGCTGGGTGTGAGGGTTTCTGGGTTGTCTGTGTGACAGCTGTGATTTCTCCACCAGTGCCGTTCCCCTTCTTTGTGGACCTTCGGCGGCCGGAGCTGCTGCTGAATAACACCATCAGCCTGTACCTTGTCACCGAGCCGGACGTCACCGTCGGCATCTGGTGAGTGGGGCAGCCCTGGCATCCCAGGGGGGGCTCCTCCAAACTCCTGGCTAAACTGGGTGAAGCCCCCAACCCTGGGGTGACCCCGCTCTGCCCCCCTCCAGGCACACGGTGCCGGGCAGCAGCGGGTCCGAGGCGTGGGGCAAGGACCAGCGCTGGTACGAGGAGGCACTCGGTGATTCTCACCCTGTGATCATCTACCTGCATGGCAATGGGGGCACAAGGTGAGTACCTGCAAGCGTTGCCTCTCCCCAGGGGGAGAATGGGTACGGCAGCAACTCTGCACGGGGTGG